CAACACACCTCAATACCCACACACATGCACACATACTGTGTACGGCAAGCACTCTCTTCCCCTTCCGCTGCCCCTTCACCGCTGCGGCATCCCAACATCACCCCCGCCACCCCCGCCACCCCCGAAGCCCACTCACCCTCGTAGATGTCAACCGCCGCATCTGTCAGGCGCTGCATGTACACATCCTCCTGCACCTGCTGCAGCTGGCTCTGCACCGCGCCCATGGTCACGCCGTGCCAGCCGCTGCCGCCGTCGTTGGTGCTCACCACGCCGTTGAACACCAGCACGCCCGACCGCGCGGGGCCCGCCAGCCCCGTGCTGTGGGCCAGCTCCGCGGCGGCCTGCAGCCGGGCAGCCACCTCCTTGCTGCCCGCCTCGCCCGCACGCTCCGCCATAACGACGGCCTGCAGGCGCGGGTGCAGAGCAGAGGGAGGGAGGGGGGTTGGAGGCGGGCATCGGGCGGGGTGTGGACAGGGAGGCCGCGCAGCAGAGGTGCGGCTGCGGTGGCTGGAAGCAGAAGCAGCCGCGCAGGCTGGCGCTGGCGATTAGAGATCAGAGCCACGGCGCGGCAGAGCCGCGGGCCAGGCTGCGAGCAGGCGGGCAGGCCCCTGCCTCCCGCCGCCCCTCACCTCGGCCGCCGTGGCCACGGGCCCCTCCTCCACCTCTGCCAGCTCGCCCCACCCCGCCCACTGCTCCTCCGCCGCCCGCACCGCCTCCAGCCACAGGCGGTCGTCAAAGTCGGCCTGGCCGTCGGCCTGCGCAGGCATGGCCTGCCGCACGGCATACAGGAAGTGGACGGCGGCGCGGCCGCCAAAGGCGGCGTGCACCGCGCCCAGCAGGCGCCCCATGCGCTCGGACAGCGAGGGAGCGTCGTCGGGCCTGGGCCCTGCGGGGGCGGCAGCGGCAGCGGCAGTGGGGGCAAGAGGCACACGAGTGCGTCGGGGAGTGGGCAAGGTGGGGGGCGTGCGCTTCCGCTGCGGCCGGTTTGGCAGCAGGGCGCACGGGAGCAGGCGGCAGAGCCGGGGAGCGCTGTACAGCAGCCTGCCCCAGGTGCCCCAGCCGCCCACCATCGCCGCCCCCGCCCACCTGCTCCGCCCCTGGCGCGCGCCACCCGCGCCGCCACCACGGGCAGGAGGCCCGTGCGCAGCGGCCAGGCCTGCTGCTGCAGCTGGTGCAGCAGGGCGCCGATGTCGAGGGCGGCGGGGGAGGCGGGGTCAAAAGCATAGACGGCGTTGAGGACGTTGCGGGCCACTGTGGGCAGGCGGCCGGGATACATGGGCATGAGCAGCGTCTGCAGCTCGCGGGGCCACCGCTGGTACTGACGGTCCTGCTCCAGGTTGTTGACCTGCGGGGGTGGTGCGGGGGTGGTGGGGGTACCCTCTGC